TGATTCTGAGGATGTGCAGGTGATTTTTATCTGCTATAGATGGGGTGTATTAACATTATTTTACAAGATACATGTACCATCTAGAGTTCTGACCATCCTTTATGAAAAAAGCCAAGAGATGCAGGGAAGAACATTAATATCACAAATATTTAATAATGTTGTTTGAGAACACAGAAATCAAAAAAGGAAAATATTGTCCTTTTTAATTATGTCTGGAGGAATAAAGATCACAAAAGGAAAAACGTTCTTTAGTGAAGGTAAATCTTTTACTTTTCTTCATAAGAACCAGATGGTTATCTGAGCTCCTTCAAACGAAAATAAAGAAATTAATGGACCACAAGGTTGTGAGATGGATTTCTACCTACACAGTTAGGTGACTTCTAGACAGCTGAGAATGCTCTTCATTTGTGGCTGATCTCTGAGCAGACCTAATTTCTATTATGGTAATATTAATTTCTAGGGTTTTGAAAATTATTTGTTTGGCTAAAACCTTTTAATTTTCCCTTAGGTACTAATTGGCTTCCAGGAGAAGTTTCTCTTACTAGTTTTAGAAGAATTTTTCATTCATGCCAAAATAAGTTGCATAAAATTGCAAGTTCCATTCTTTTCTTTCTATGGTTCTGTTGCTTGGCTGGATTGAAGCATTCTTGCTATAGATCATACAATAGTCTAGAGAATATTGGGACATTTTCCAGCCTGGATAAATAACGTGAAGAAAACAGTTATGTGAGGGAACCTAAAACTGTATTTGTAATAAACCTCCCACAGTACTATTAAATATGCAATATAAGGATGAAATGTGAAATATAATGAGCAATCCTTTTTTTTTTTTAACTATTTTGGACAAAGGCAACATTTTAATAGTGGTTGAATCAATACTAGCATAAAATAATGCCCTAACATTAGTGAAGATTGTAAATTTGTGTAACTAATTTAAAAATAAAATTAAGAAATCCTTCAAATTTTCCACCTGATTCTAATTTTAGGAGGGATTTTTATAAGCAATTAAAACTATTTTCCTGCAATGATCTGAAGGGGAAATTATCATTTGTTTCATTTTTATTCTAAGGAATTTTGAAAAAGCAGAAGGTACAGTAATGAGGACATTTTTTTCTGTTTGCAGCGTATCCACTTGGATATCAGAGTTGGGGAACATTTTTTGGATGAATCTGCTATTCAAGCCAAAGACAAAGTGAATGAAGTTAATGTCAGACTAGAGCATCTAATTGAGCAAATTCATCACGTAACCAGAGAACAAGACTATGAAAGAGTATGTATGTGCCCTAATGGAAATGTTAAAAATATTGTACATAGGCTTATTAATTTATAACGTATTATGAGGTTTATTATCCAATTGCAGCAGTATTTTTAACTAACTCATAAAAATATATAGCTATTTAACCAAAATAGCCTCCATTACCTTGCAAAAAATACTTTTAAGCGGTTACATGAAACTAATTAATCACTGTGGACTCATGCTTGTAGCAACAGGTGTTATTTTATAGCAGCAGGTGGTGTTTTAAAGCAGGATTTTCCTCGTAGAGTTTCCTTGGTCAGACTCAGCCACAGCAGCTGAGCAGGTGGCAGGTACCATTGTGGGTGATGCTGCCAGCTGTTTTTTCCACTCTGCCCTGCATGCACAAACATTATTGAGTGGGGAAGGAAATGACTGAGTGTATATTTATATATCCCCATTAAGACAGACATAAAGCTGCCCTTCTTCAAACAAGTTACACCCAGTCACTTTTCTATATGCATAGAGATATACTGTGCTTGAAATATATCAATTAATTACCCAAAACCAGAAATCTGGCTGCAAAAGGGCTCTTAACAGCAAAATGGAAGTGACTGTAAACCTAAACAGGTTAACATCTGTACTAATGGAACATGTTTAGCACACTACATCTTCTGTGAACAAGGGAAGCTCTGTTTGCCTTCCTGCTTCAGGATGCAGCATGCTTGCTGCTCAGTTTTGATTTGTGAAGGTATCTACCATACAGATAAGTACAAACCTTCATTTTTGTCCACATGGAAAAATGCTTTTGTTCACCACTATGTAGAAGGGGGATGCTTTTCTAGTTACCATGAAACATACAGATGCCAAAAGGTAATAATTATGCTTTTCCTTTATTCTCTAGGAGCGTGAAGAAAAATTTCGGAAAACAAGTGAAGAAACCAACAGCAATATTTTGTGGTGGGCTATAGTACAAACACTAATCCTCATCTCCGTTGGAATCTGGCAAATGAAATCTCTAAGAGATTTCTTTATATCTAAGAAGCTTGTTTAAGTTCTATAAAGTCAATGCACAGATTCAAAAATTGCACACCATGTAACACTGAACATCTAAAGAAACCCTGCACCTATGAGAAAATTGCTTGTATAGAACTCTCAACCTTCTCTCATCTTCTGCTCTGATTCTAATTCTCATTTTTCCAGTTAGGGTACACCTCTGGCATCCCCTTACATTTTACTCCTTGAATCCCATGTTTTATCATATTTTTTCCCCCCTCTATGGATGTAAAGCTAAATTTAGAAGGAGTCAGTGACTAAGACAGCATTTAAGTTCAATACTTAATGAAGAACATTTAATTTAGGTTAAATCTAAAATAGAAATCTAAGATAAATTTTCCTAAGATTTTAAATTATTCTACTTGCTGAGTAATCTTATTTGGCACCATGAACAGTTCAGCACTTCAGACTGACTAGAATTCAGATAGTAAACAGAGAAATAATTACATCCCCTGCAGTGTTTAATTGGGTGAGAGTGTCTTGAACTCAATCTCTATATGCGTAACCCCTAAATATAATTGTGAATGCTTTCATGTAAAATATTCAGAGTTTGAACTGATCATTGGTGGCAGCAATTACCATGGAGAGAGATCCAGAAAAGCAATTTGGAATTATACTTACTTTTTACTTTCAGAAAAGCCCTAAACATTAGGCTATAGAATTGATGACGATCAGATGCCTCCCACAGTTGTTTATGTAAATTATAGTCTTTATGAAGTATGCCAACGTAACCCAAATTATAGGTTTCTTGGTAAACAATGACAATTTTATTTTAATTAATTCCTGCACTAAATGTTTCTGTGTTGAGAATTTTTATAATTTTAATTATTTAGCAACTTTACTATAACTGCCTACAGAAATTACCAGTTTTTGACTTAATTTTCCATTTCACTTATTGCAGCTTGGTTGCATATATCTTTATGCCCTAATTTAACCAGTATATGTACAAATAGCAGTGTGTCTACAGTATCATACAGTGACAAGTCAAAGGCTGTGGTTAAAATTGAGATAATTAGCTTGACAAAGCCGTAGTAGTAATAGGAAGGAGTTGGAGACGATTACATACCAGAACATGGAAGTCAAAGTTTCTAGAGCACTGTGATAGTGGAGTATTGTGGTTTGTTTTCCTACCCACTTTTTCAGACTCTTTTCTAGTTTAAAAGGTAGTGAAAGGTGAAATACCTGCAGACCAATTATTGTTCTAAAGGCACTGCTTTCCTTTCTTTCTTTTTTCCATCTTCCCACCTGTTGTTTTCTTATGAAAGGAAATTACATTCCCTGTAAGTCTACTTACATATCCAGCGTGGGAATTAAAATACAGCGGGTAGTATGTGAGAATCAATAAAATTGATACAAAGTAGAGACTAAAAGCAATTTTCCAGGGAACAAATCAATCCAAATAAAATCTTATAAAGCTACTCACTACATTGTGTCCTATTTTTAAAAATTCGGATACTTTGGTGGTGCTGCTTAGAATGACCAGTAAGTAAGTGTTATTAAATTAACTTTTATAGAGCACTCACTCACAACATGTCTTGTAATAACATCTTTGGTGGTGGGTAAGTAGGAAATATGTGTTAAAACCATATGGTATATGAAGTCCAAGAATAAAGTAATAAAGTATTGTGACAAGATTGTGGTTCAGACTTTAGCTGATATGTAGTGTAGGGCTCCTTATCACATTCCAATGTCAAACATAACTCATTTCACTTACAATACACTCCAGCTGGTAATCCAGGACAAGCAACATTTCAGGATTTATAAAACAGATGATCATGTTCCACCATATTAATTAGGTCTATACTCAAAAGAGTATAGATTCAGCACTGAGACTTGGGAGTCTTGAATATAACTTGTAATTGCTTAATTCTTTACTACTACTGGTACTACTATTATTAATCATCATCCTCATCATCATCATCTTTGCTTTTATGAAATGTTTTCAGTCTCCAAGATTTTTATTTAACTCCATAAAGCAGAAGCTGACTCACAGCTCCTTTGGGAAGCACTTTGGGGACAGAAACCTTTGTGAGGTTAAAAGCTTCCTCTGCAGTTTGTGGCTCTGTCATACCCAGAGCTACAGCCTGCACTGCAGCTCGGTCTGTAAGGGACTTCTTTCTCCTAAAGTTTTCATCGAGGGACACTAGCAAGCAATGGAGTATTTTCTTTTTTTTTTTGGTCGAAGAAATGAACCTCAAATGTCCTAAATCTCCTTGTTTTGCTCTTTTTCCACAACAGAAGATGCAATAGCAAACCTGTGATATAGAATTAATAAACTTCCTAGATTCTTGCATTTGAAAGAGTGAGAGACACAATTATTTTCTCCGTGGTTTTTTTTTTGCACCCCGCCATCTGCTGCCCCGGGCCGAGTGAGTAGGGCGGGGCTCCTGCTGAAGCCGCTGCCTGCAGCGCTGTGGGTGCAGTTCAGTTCCCCACGTTTGTGGACGGGAGCGGGACTGTCAGAGCACCGTCTGTGTCGGCACCGCTCCAGTTTGGTAGTGAGAGGCCAGAAAACCCAAATATTTTGGTGGGCGGGTGTGTGAGGACCAAGCTCTGCCGCCCTGAGGCCCCGCGGCGGGAGGGACGCGGGCCGCGCTGCCCTCAGGGCTGCCTCAGCGGGCGGGACGTGGCGGGGATGCACCTGCGGGGCTCGGCCTGAGGAGAAGCGGCTCTGCCCCACCCCCGGGCCGCTGCCGGGCCCTCCTGTCCCATGGCCGTGTCCCCGTTCTGCAACTCCTGCATGCGCCAGCCCCTCAGCCCCACGCCGCTGTTCTACCTCACCAACTGCGGCCACGTTTTCTGTGAGGTTTGCCTGCAGAAAGGTAATGGCTGCTGGGGCGCGCCCGGCGGGGCGGGCTGTGCTGGCGTGCACACATCCACCCCAAACATGGGTATTTCTGACCCGCTGAGGGAAAAAAGAAAGCCCTGAGCATTTTTTTCGAATGTTACTGATAAGCCTTTCCAGTCCTTGCTGTTGATTCGCTTTAAACCGTAAAACCCGCCTGTGTCCGCTTCCAGGTTGGTGTGGCTTTGGGAGAACCCTTGGGCACAGGCCGTGGAGGCTTTAATCAAACTGGGTTCTGGATACTTATGATCCATAACTTTTTTTAAAAAAAACACAAATAGATGGCCTTCTATTCTGGCTAATTTGGGAAAAATAATGGTTTTTCCTTAGTGAAAGAGCAATAAAAAAAACATAGGATTTGTTTAGGGTAGGTTTTTTGAGTAGTCTTAATAATAAGTTTTAAGGCTCAATATTGCTCCTGAAAACTTTCAGCAGCATGAGGGAAGATTTGAAGTGATGTTTTAAAGCTCTTGTGCTGTGTACAATTCCAGAGTCATACTCTGTGACTCCTGTGATGTTCTTAGACAATGATATGTGGAAAAGACAGAGGAATAATGAAGCTGTTTCGCAAAAGAAAAAAAAATGCAGCAGACAAATCTCAATGTTTTTCTCTTTCACATCAAGCTAAATGCCCTGTTTTGTTTTTTTAATGACACACAGAAGAAATGATCAATCTGTATTTCAGAACTAAAGACTTTCGACTAGGCATTTTCACAGGGTTGCTGTTGAGGATAGAGTATAATAAATTGCAGCCTCTACAGCTTCCAGGCTCCTAGGACATGGACAACATCTTTCCTTTCCTTTCTGCTCTTAATGTAGTTTGGCAGAAAAACGTGTGAGAGATTATGTATCTTTTTGCTGTGAATTCAACAGTAATGGAAATGCAAGGTTTAAAATGTATTTAAAGATGTTGATCCTTAGAATCTTCAGAAAGGCAGTAGCTAGTAAAATTATCAATTATAAATATTGAAATAATGTGCATTTGCTATAGATATTTTCTAATGTGTTTGCAGATAATCAAAGAGTTTAGAGTCATAAAGTTTTAAAAAGTGATTTTATTGTTTTCTCACTGGAGGAATTCAAAAGGTAAAATTATTAATTCCTTTACATTTGGGTTTCATATATTTTCTTGGGAGAACCCAACTGTGCCCCAGTCTAAAAATCCATGTATCAGATTGACTGTAAATCATTAGTGCACTTAAGCATACATTTAATTAAACCAGGCAAGTAGTCCTATTTAAATCAAGGGAACGAAAAGTCACCTGCATTCTGTGACACTAATGATATTCACAAAATCATTTACATGAATGCTTATTTACAGGAGTAAGACCTGATGGCATTCATACACATTTTTCCTGCACAACTCTGTGTAATGGTTATAGAATCAAATTCATTATTCTTGTTTATTCATACTTCTTGTATAACCTGCAGATTTCTTCCATAAGCTCCAGAGGTTTAGATATCACATTCTATTTACAATGTATTTAATATATATTCAGTTTGATCTATATTTTAAATGTATCTTTATCTTACAGGCAAAAAAGATGAATGTTTGATCTGTAGAAGTCCTTGTCGTACCTTAGTCCTTTCAAAAGAGGTAAACCAAGCTTTAGTTTTGTTGCATTACATTAATCTGTGGTTTGTTTAACAGCTAAACTATTTGCATAAAAAAATGCTTCCTTTTTTGTTTTTGCCAACTGTGGCATGAATATTTACTGATAATAGGTTGTTAAACTTAGATACTTAGGCACTAGACAGCTCAGCTTTTTGTTGTATATATTCCTTCAAATTGAAGCCTATGGAAACATTTTAGGTTTTCAGGTACTGCTAGACTGTAAATCATTCTAAACTTTTCAATAAATATGGCTGGTTACTGTGTAACATCAGTGACTACTTTCAAAATGTGGAAAAATGTTTATTGATACTGGCATTTGTACATCACAGAAAATGAACAGTAATGAATTACTTCATGTAATGGACTGAATTAAAAACCTGCATGATGGCTCAGCAGTGTTTTCAAGTAGATTAGGGTTTTTTCCCCTGTTTTCTCTTAAGCTTAACTATTTTCCTTATGGCTGTGTGATTAAGAAAGAGTTTGAAATATTGTTGGGAATTCTTGTTATTCACTGGAGAATTAAGAGCTTTTAATTCCTTTTCTTGATTAATCATTAGGAACATTTAATTTTGCCATTTCTCCTAGAAGCAATCTTCTCTTTAGCTGATTTCATAAATAGGTTGTGAAAACATTCATATTTTTGTAGACTGATGCCTACCTAAGAGACAATGCCTTATAAGGATAAAAGAGAAACACCAAAAACATTTAATAAAACTAAATACAGCTAAACATGAAGGCCTCCTAGCAATCTTACACGTTGAAGAAGACAATGCTACTAAAAAAAATTGCAGCAAAACAACAAAATGCAATTTTAATACAAAAGAACAATGCACACAGTAATCAAACACAAAACAAATCAAAAAGCACTTCATAAAAATTCTAAAGGGCATATTTTAATATGCTTTCAACATCAACCTATTGTTGCTGCAAACTTTGTTATTAATTTCAATCAAAGAATATTCTAAGTTGTCAGGGACCATTTTGTCCAACACCTTGCTCAAAACAATGTCAGTTTTTAAGTTACATCAGTCTTAAGTTGCAGTATTTCATCACAACTTGATAATTCAAACACACAGAAGGAATTTAAAAATGAAGTGATTGGGATAGTAACAAAAATATTAGATATTTCATTAGAACCTGCCACTGCTCTGGAGGGCTGGAAGGAAGCAAATTACCATATTCTTTAAAAAAGACATTAATGATGATTGCTTATCCTTGATTAAGAACAGATAAAATGATTGGAATGATAATTAAAGATGCATATAAAAAAGTCATGGCTCTATAATTCAGGAACCTGAGTTGAAATATACCTGGTAAGCTTTATGAGCTTGATGCTATGGAAGAATTCCCAATGAGGAGGAGGTCCTATAAATGTGTTAGACCTCCTAATTAAATTGTATGTTGGGATAATCAACATGTACACATTAAATATGCTCATTTTTACACTAATGCATTCTTGTCACCTTTATATCTTCCTTTTGTGTCTCATGATCCCCACTTGCTTTTCCCCAGAGGATGTTTAAGTGGTACAGTAAATCAGAATCTGGCTGTTCAGTATTTCAGAATATCATATGAACATCTGCTAGTCCTCCATGCAGCAGATAAAATACAAACAGTATCATACAAATCTTTATTTGAAAGAGTTTTTACATCATGATGAAGCTGCTTGGGATTTTTTTTTTCCATTCTGATAGGTACATAAACCAAGATCATTGTTTTGATAGAACCCTAAATAGATTGCTCCTATGAATGCATTTCATTCAAGGAAGCTGAATGTATTTTTTTGAATATCTTCAAGTTTTCAAGGTGGACTTTTATTGTCTTGTGTGTATTTTCTTTACTGAAATATCACAGGTAGGTTCCATGTGCTGTCCGTCCCTGCATTTCTCCGTTTGTCAGCTGAAAATTTTTGAATGCTTTGGCTGATGTCAACCAAATTCAAACTTGCAGAGGAATTCTCAAAGACAATTAACTACCTCCTGTGACTTCTGTAAAAATTAGTAGCTGGGGAAAGCAAGGAAAAGCAGTTTTCCTAAAGCATGCACGGCTCTGCAGTGAGCAGACAGTGCAGGCCATCATCAATTGCTGCACAGGACATCCCAGTAGCTGATGTCACCATATGGGAAACAGAAGATACAAACCTATTGCAAATCCAAGTTGTTAATTTAGCTCCTTGCACAATTATTTTTCATACATAAGAGATTCCATTTCTCTTTATTGTTAAAAAGATATAATTTAAGCGCACATAGAAAAGAGGTTTGGCTGTTGTTTGGTCTTGAGTATTTGACTTTATGCTAGTGTTAAAATATTTTTGGTGGAGTTAAAAATACTATTTTTTTAGATTTTTGTGTATTTCAAAGTGGAGCAAAGCCTAACCCTTTTTGATTTCAATGCAGTATTTTTAATTTGAGTGACTGCACTTTTCCTTCTGCTTTCTTAGCATCCCAGGAAACTTATGCTTCATTCACAGGTGGCCCAGTTCTTAGTTCTTTTAGTAATTCACCTTTTAAAATTTCTTAATTTTTTTAAAGCTTTTTGAGATTTTTAATACTTCTAGAAGTAATTTCAATTCTTCCTACAGCAGTTCTTTCTTACTGGATTTTGAGAAGTGATTCCTTACAGAAAGGCTACCTTCTTTCTGGGGCAGCCTTCTATCATCTAAGTATGCCTGCATTATTTTTGGTCTTTTTCTTCAAATTTGGGGTGGTTGTAAACCTACCTTCTCTTATAGAATCACAATACATCAAAGAGAGCCATCCTGTTTGCAGGTAGATTTTTTTCCTAGATAGGTTGTTTTTGAAAGCTGTTTAGCTATTTTAATTTAGTACTAAAACTAGTATAACTATTTTGGAGTTGTATTTTCTTTGTTTTTCTTATGAACAGGTTAGGAATGTGTGTATTCAGGATTAACGTAACACTTAAGTTGTCTACACTGCTTTGTAGATTTGGATAGATGTGCAAATGTTGCTATTATTCTGAAATTCACTTAATATTTTGAAGCATTTTTTTCCTCACCATAAGTAACAAATATATTTTTATTGCAATCATGGCTTAGGTATAGAGCACTTAAAATTTTATAAAAGCACAGGTGGCCATTTGTGAGGCCACATCATGATCTCTGATTAAAAGACACAAGTCATAAAATACTTAAAAATTCAGCAATTACTTTAGGGCTCTTTTGGTATTCTGGGATAATATTCTGCTGCCCCGTGGGCAGGAAGAGACAAAGGGATCCCAGCCAGTATTGGAACTATTCTGAAAAAGGACTTGGAAACAAAACTGATTGTAGGATGCATCCCTACATTCCCTGTGGCTGGGAATGGTGAGAACCAAAAAGTCTGGAAAGTGCCTTCCAGAAACCTGGCTGTTGGTGTGAATGCAATGCCTCTTCCAGGGGCCACAGCATCCTCCTTGGATGGACACTGGACACTGGTGCTCTCTTAATCACAATAAGTATATATGTGGGTAATATAAGGCCATTAAAGAAAACTAAGTTTATTTTCAATTTCTGCATTATCCTTCTCTGATCTGTCAATTTTTTTCTATTTATATACATCAGTCAATTTAAGAAGCACTTCTAAAAAGACTTTACTTGACTTGCTAATAAAAATGCTAACCTTGGTATATTTTCATTTCTTCATAGATAAGTCCTGATATTCAATCACTGTTCATGCAAGTAGATGTATTATGCAAGAAATATTCAGCTGAACTATCACAGGTGAATCTGCCTTAAAACTTCTTAACTCTATAAAAAGTCAGCAACTCCTACTGATTTTTATGTGAATGGGAAAAGTATATGAGTGAATTCTTGAAACTAATGTATGCCCATTATTATCTTTACTTCCTTAATTCCACAGTTTCTAAGTTCTGAAGGAGACATAAATCATTCATTATGGTCACTGCTCATGTTTTCAAACTCTCTCTAAGGACCACTAGTCTGGTTATTTTAATGGTGTAAAATCACTTTCAATGCCATGCAATCAAAAATTAGATTTGCCAGAAGCTTAAATGTGCCCAGATAGTGTGCCTTAATTGTAGCAATAAAAAGTTACACTGTAAAAACCTGAGCTGGGCTACAGACCTGAGGTGACTGTGCTGTCTTTCCCTTTTTAATTTTTCTTTTCTTTCTTTAATCAAAACACACCTCTTCTTTTTTTTCTAGATAGATGCAGTAAATGATTCCAAGGTCATTTTCCTCCTGCTTTCTGTGAATTTCAGATAGGATTCCTTTCTTCAGGCTTCATTTCCAGTAAAGAATTTCTGTAGCTGTGTGGGTTAAATGAGTGCATACAAACTCCCATTTACTCCTCATTTTCTGCATCTCTTCAGCTTGGCTTTGGGATTTTGTGTCCTTGTCCTTCTTCCTGTGTATTTCAGCAGCAGTTTCAGGCACTCAGTAGTACATTGTCCCTGGGCTCAGGTGCAGCATTCGCTGTCTATTCTCATCTCCTTGGGCTGGGACTTGCTGGTCTTTGGGTGAACTCCCTGATCCAGCAGAACAATAACCCAGGGAAAATCACCTCCAGCAATGGTCATGGATTCACATTTGCTCTACCCCAGGCGTCACAGACTTTTCCAAAGCTGAGCTTAGCCACTTTCTTGAGGAGTGCTCCTCCTCAGATGCAGAAGTGACACAAGGTAAATGTGAAGCCTTCCTCTGTCCTTCCATACCCACTTTTTACCATCAGGATCAGCAGGGCTTTTTTCAGTTTACTCTGTAAACTGTAACAATGCAGGGAACCACACTTCCAATCACATGGGAATACAAACTTCCATACTGTGCCAAAGGAAGGAAAAAAGAGGGCTCAATCTCTCAAGGCTAAGGTAGCCTGAGAGAACCTATTGGAAACATATTGAAGTGTAGTGAAGGCATTGAGGTATGCTCGGAATTTGTCCCAGCATCAAAAGATGATCTCCTATACCCAAGAACTCATTTCTGAGTGAGTGGAGGTAGCTCAGAGACATCGCTTTCTAAGTGGATATTTCTTCCATCAGTTGTTAAAAAGACACACTTGATTCTTTCATGAGTATTCAGTGGGAACCTCCCAGGTTCTTCCATAGGGAATAAAATAACCATTTAAGTTAGATACTCCTGTATGGCTTTATATTCTCAGAGTGTTTCTTCTTGGTTGTCTCTATTCCTACACATTTTCTGGCAGTTTTCTTACATGTGAGAAGAATGATTTATTGGAAGTTACTGCCTATGGTAATTTGTTTCTCAAGCTCTTGTCTTGCCTACCGTGTCATTTTTACTTTTAACTTGTCATGGTTTATGATCCTCATTTGGACACAAGAAGTGCTTACACATAACCAGACAGTGTGTCTAACAATTATTTTTTAATTAACAGGGTATTTTTACAAGGCATATTATAATTCCCAGTAAGACAGATTACTTTTGATGTTGCCATTAATTTTATGTGTTTGCTTAGCACTGATGAATAAGAAACACTGCAGCTAAACTGGCTTTCTAATGTCTTTACCTTTTTATTGAACATAGTGTTAAAATACAACTTGAATGAAATAAATCTACCAGCTCTACTGTAGGTCATATTGGATTAAAATAACTTTATAAGACTTTGTCTATCAGTGATAATAACTTAGAATAGTTTGGGTATTTTTTGAAGAGGATTTGAAGAAGATAGGTTAACTGCCTATTAAAATACAGGAAACTTTGCATACTGTGAGTAGGTATGTTCCATCACTTCTTTGTTGAGGTGTATAAATGTAATTATGTGAAGCTTGATATAACTATTTATTTTTAGGTTTCAGAATTTCAAGAAAAATATCGTAAGCGTTTATTAACACACTACAAGGAAAAGGTAATTCTAACTGTGATTTTCTAGGGTTTTGTTTATGTTTGCCTTGTTACTTTGGTTTATTTTTAGAAATTGTAATCATCTTTTATTGGAATGCTTAGAATAATTTATCAGGATTGACTCATTACTGTCATCATAAATACTAGTTTTTAATTGTTTAAAGTCTGTGAGGACTCTGTTAATTCTGGTGATTATTTTTAATAAAATACTCTAGTTGTGAGATGGTTAAGTGGAGAATCAAAGAACAGGGAGGGAAGAAACCAGTTCACTGTATGGAGGGGAAGGAGGAAGAGGTGAGGAGGAATGGGTGCTAGGAGATAAGCCCAGAGGAAAAGAAGACTTTAGGGCTGACAAAATAAATTAGAATTCAAATTCCCACTTGAGCAGTGGGAAACAAGACTAAGGGCTAATACCCTGAATTTGGGATAGCTCTTTGTGAAGGACAGAATTAATTATTCTGTGGAGAAGAGGTACTGCATTTGTCACTGTGCTTCTTCCTTTGTAGGTTGGAAGGCAGATTTCTTTTTCATTTTTCAGCTACTTCTAAATATTTTATTAAATAGTTGTATGTTTCTTTTCTTTCTAAGGACATGGGATGTTGCTTAAAGCTGCTCGGCAGTATTGGTGATTAGACCCATGAGTGGATACCACACGTATGAAATGAGAATGAAAAGCTCACGTAGCTGTCCAGTTGGCCATTTCATGTGTGTGGGGAGTTTCTGGTATGATTGTCATGGATAGGAAGTTTGGAGAATTAGGTGCTCTGTGGCCCATTCTTCCCTCTTCTCCATGAGTGCATTTTGGGATCACTCATAGTGTACTGTGGTGTGTGTAGTTCTTTTAGGGTCCTGTCCTTCTGCTTTCAAAGCCACGCCAGGAAGGAATCCTGATTTCATCCCCCTTCTAATCTTTTGTAACAACTCCAGATTGTAAAACTGAAACCTGTAGACAAAGTAAAACCAATGTCTTAATAGAATTCAGCATAAATACAGATGTTATCTCTCTGTGGAGAGTTTTGATACTTTTGTAATGGCAATATTTTTAAGTTGTTTACTGTTGAGACATTCACTCAGCAGTGTTTGTAAAGTATTCAGGGATGATGCTTGACCTAAGGAAGGTGTTCAGGTGACAGTACTGAAACAGTTGAATATATTCATAAATATCTAGATAGGTAGATAGATATAGTTGGTTGCTGCTTCAGTGATGCCCTGTTTTGGGTGGGTTTGTTGCCCATTCTTTGTGTTAGTATGTTAAAACTGGTTGCATTGGATCAGGGTCAGGAGAGACTGGTTGTATTAAACACCATTCTGGTTTCTCATGCTTGGCTGTCTTGTTTCAGGTCCCCTTCCTTATTTCTAGTTTGTCATCCTTGTCACTGTCAACCAGCAAGATCTCATGGTCTTCATTAAACTGCTTTGTTGCTGTTTTTGTGAGTTGTGCAGATATTGGGGTGCAGATGATGGTGGGCACTTGCTGTCCGTATTCTCAGCAGGTCTTGAAGCCCTGTTGTGCTAGGATCCCAAAATATTGAAAATCAAATAGTTACTCACCTTAAGATACTTTGGTCTTAAAATTACCCAGTCCTACAGAGCAACAGGGTAAAGTACATTCTTCCTGACTGGTCCCTTTCTTAATCAAACCTAGCTCTCATTAGGAAGAAGAAAACAAAATACCGAAAACCAGATCTTACATAAATTAAATTTTTTCTTTAATCTGTTTTGCAGAGTTTTGCTTCTGCAAAAAGAACATAGTATCTCCCACAAACAGTATGATTTTATAAAGCAGGTAATTTTATTAAAGGACTCGAATAATAGTTTGAGAAGCATGAAAAGTTAACAAGCAAATTCATTCGCCTTCAAAATATGAACAGTATGAAGGATTAAGGCCACATAGTGGAAATTAAGGATAAAATATAGATAAAGTATTGAGGCTATTGAGTAAATTTTTACTTCCTTCATAAAATATAATATATGTTCACATAATGAAAGACTGTAAAAAATTCACATACTAGGGAGCTGACTTAGTGTTCTTGACCTTAATATTCTTCAATTTTGCCAGCTCATAACATTCTTTAATGGAGATATTTTTGGTTGTGTCTCTAATTTAGTAGGAAATACTTTTCATTTAAGCTTATTACAAATAGATACTGCAGTGAACTGAATACATTTTGAATCTGAAATGAGAAATATGGTGGGAACATAGTATTTTGTACATTTATTGGTAGCTTTTTCAGATAACTCCATATTAATCATAAAAAAAGCTTTTATATCAGATGTGGAAAATAGGAAGCAAAAGAAAAGAAAACTGTTTTTAAGCACTCTTCCTAGTATTCATTTATCCAGTATTATCAGCACACTTAAGAAATGGTAATCAAACTAAGTCTTTAACTGCCAAAAAGAAGCATATCTCTTCCAGACTGATTGTTTAATGGGTCCATAACACAGCCATAACAGCTCCAATAAATCTGGAATAGCAATGATGTCTTAAGATTAAAACCAATAGAAAGCAGCTTTTCAACACTTTAGAATACTTGTTGGATGAAAATGAAGCTGTATATCACACACATAGACTTTGTTTAAATCTATGATTATCTCACAGATAGCGAAGCTGGAAGAGTCTCTCAAGAAAGTAACACAACAAATGCAACAGATGCAATGGTAAGAGGTTTAATGCAGCAAAAGTAAATGTAATCAGACAACAGTAAGTTTAATTCATTAAACAATGAAGATTTAATGATTTGTTTGCCTTCCTCATGTTTTTACAGAAATAAATGTATAGTGATTTGTGACATCAGATTAATTTTTCACAATAATCAATCCTGTTAGGAAAAATCCTTTTATTTACAATACAACTCAGTAGTTAACTCTAGAAGTGAACTTTTAACAAAGTCTTTCACATAGACACACAGTTTTAAATTTTTATTTGCAGTTACATAACCATGTTTGTGTATTTTGCAATGGACTTTAGAGCATCAGCCTAGAAAGTAATGTGGTGCCCTTGTGGGTATCTTAGCCCATTTACAAAGTTACCAGAGTTTTGTAATATGGTTCTTATTGTTTCTATTTCTAGAAAAAATTAAATTCTTGTCTCATCTTGAATTTGTCTTTTTTCTCAAATGCTTCAAAGTGGTAGCCAAGAGATTGCTCATCATTTTCCCCTCAATGACTGATACACTTTCATCTTTTCATCTTATTTCTAACATAAAGCCAAAACTGTTCTTGAAATCTCATTAATAAGCCAGTTCATGCAACCAGCATTTTAACAGCACAAACATGTTGATCTTCATTCCTTTCCTGTGGTTTTTGTTTGGTTTTATTTTGGTTTTTCGTTTGCTTTTTTGTTTGGTTTTTTTTTTTTTTAGTACAGGCTATTTCCCATGACTCTTAACTGCAGATAATGTATTTTGCTCTCTCAGACTGCTTGGTATAATGTAACAGAAAGAAAAACCAGTATAAAAGAAACTGTATGTGGTGGATTACAGCAGTTTATATGTTTTTGTTCACTGCCTCCATTTTCTTGTCTTTATCTCAAATTAATTGCATCTTGGTTATATCAAATACAGAGTTCTAACTGAATTTTAGATTTTCTTTTTTGAGTTCTACCAAGAGAGCAGTGTCCTAGGGCCTTCCCTTGCTTGCCTAGTAAACATATTCTTCCTATTTATGGTTCTTGTCAAAGGTACCAGTTCTACAAGTTAATATTGAATAGTAAGAAAATGCCAACATTTCATTTGACAACTAGATTTCTTTAAGTTTGGTAAATGTATAATGAAATGAAATGAATTTTCTGCTTAGCTATAGTTAAGAGCTGTATTTTAACATCTTTTGTTCCCTAAAGTACTTTGCTATAATGTTGTGCTAAGTTGATATTGTTGGGTATGCAATGAGCACTGCAGATATTCTGATATAAAAAGCAAGTTCGTAGCTTACTAAATAAATTCTTACTTTGCTTCATGGCAAATGGTATTATGTTAAAACCTGCTACTGATGAATAAAATGCTTTGATTTTATACTTTATTGACCAGCTAGACACATGAACTAATCAAAACAGCTTTCAATTTATATCTGTTATTTCTTCTTTCCCTTTTAGTATGAAACCTCCTGATAAAACTACACCGCTGCCATTTTCCAGTATGAGCAGAAATACATTTTCCAGTAAGAAATGTTGGTTTAAAATACTAATTATGGAATACGTGGCACTGGACATAACTGTATTCTAATATTAAATTTCTTAATGACTTCAGTTCCTCCAAGAAAACAGAATGTTTATTCTTCAAATGCTCTTCATTCGAGTCATCCTTCCACTTCTGAAACGTGGGTACAAATTTGTTCATTTTCAATGAGAATCTTACCTAATATTTTATACAGAAAGTAACCTTTTTCTTTGTGAGTAAACACTTTTTCTAGTGAGTATAAAATATTTCCTGATTTTGTGTTTTGTTTTTGCAAACTGTTCAAATGTGAAAGAAATGAGGAAAGTCTTATCTATCCAAGTGTATATTACAGTTGTATGGATAATTATGGTTACGGGGAAAAAACCTAAGGCATGATGCACCTTATTTTAAAGAACTTTTAGATGGATAGGTGAATGGTAAATAGTGAGACACTCTCCATTTACCATAGAGAAAAACTAAATTTATTGTACAGACACCTATATGTATACTTTTTTTTAGTTGTCTCAGTTTAGATGGGATGAGCCAGTCCAGTAAGGCTCATTTAATTTTAAGTAAAATGAATATACAGCTTGCTCTAGCTTAAATATTTCTATATGTTTGATTGTGACTTTTTTCCCTACAAAAAAACAGATTCAGAATGCCCTTGTTGAGAATACAAATGATAAATACATAAATATGCATATTTATTCAGACAAATAGAAGAATAACAATCCTAATCATAAAGTAACTTTCTCTGTAAATGTCTAAGCCAAAGCTCAATCAATGAATAGATTTATTGCTAGTGAGTTTTGGAATAAGTCCTAAATACTTATGCATTGTGTATTATGCTTTTCCATTACTAGTCAAATTTAACATTAGAATCTAACATAGTCTTTATAATGAAAATTTGATTTTTATTACAATGTCATACTTTGACCTTTCTTGCAAGGATGGAGGCAATGGAGATTGATCCTGTACCTTCACCAATGAGGAGAGTAAGTGTTGTGTTTTTTAAATTTTTTTATGTATAGTTACACACATATATCCTTTTGATTTCTCCTACTCTGTTAATGATGCAAAACATAGGATTCTCCCCCCATTCCATTCAAAACCATTCTGATGTGCATGATGATTTCAGATATACTTGATGCAGGGTGGAAGTCAGATGCTCCCCAAAAGAAACCAAAAGGAAATAAATCACAGCATTAATTTCTGGGATTATATTCTTCACCTGCCATATACAGGCTTTTAAACCTGTGATGCCAAAGTAAATGGCAAATTCTTAAAATCCCAGTATTACAAAAATTTCAGTGATCTGAAAGCACTATCATTTAGACTCTGATACCTGAGTAGGGAGTTGAGGTTTTGAGTGATACTGCTAACATGAGAATGAAGGCAGGAGCTTTTCATGGTGTTGGTATCCTGGTTAGGAGAGGTAACATCCAGTAACAGCTGCTGGCTTGCAAATGGAATCTCAGCACAGAAAACAGTGAGAGTGTCTCATAACGTTTCTTATCTGAATGTGATAGGTTATAATAAACCTAAAATACATGTATTTCCCACCTGCCCATAGATCTTTAAAAATAGTAACTTAATTCTTAGGTTTTGCATTTTAGTGCTATGAACAAAACTGACAGCAGAGAGTTACAGAGCTCTGCAGGCTCTGTAGACTTCAAAAATAAAACAATATAATATTGCTTAAAATGTCTTAATAATTTATATGCTTATTACACTGTGGTTAATGACTTGCCATTAATTTAGCTGGAGACACCAACTGGTCCAACAAGATTATCACTAATAACTCCACCACAGGATGGACATATGGGTGAGTAAAAGGAAACTTTGTAACTGAATAACATTTCTGTTACATCAGGAAGATGAATAAATTAAAATCCGTATATTAGCAATTTACTAAAAAAATTTGAATTGTGTTGAGCAGTGAGGAATTTACCATGTGGACTTCAGTCCAGCAGCTGGAAAATGGTTAAAATGAAATATGAAATGTTTTCCTAGTACTTAGCTCTTCTGTTCAGCAAATGATTACTTGTAGCCAAACTGATTTTTTCCCCAAATCAAAGTTGCAAGGAAAATACTGTAATTATATGTGTGATTGAACAGAATAGGAATACTTCTAATATACATTGTTGAACCTCTGTTAAGCTTCATTATTTTATCTGTTTGTGGTTAACAGAAGGTAACATTGTCCACAATGTCATGTTAATGTCACGTGAAGAAAAGGGAGGAAACTAAAGGGAAATGAAAAAAAATATTTATTTACAGAAGTAATGTAGTTGAGAGAAAGAATTTCTTCAAAAGGGTGATTTTTTTTTTTTTTCACCTTATCACTGTTATAGGGTATAAGACATTTTACCTGCCACTACTTTCTTCATTCCTTCATATCCTGAGCTTGGGTGACACTCAGATGTAAATAAGATATGAGTAACAGCCTACTGGAATTGGTGCAGTCTCTTGAGAACTGTTTATTTATGAGGAGTTTCCCAGAATTCCTAATGCTTTGCAGGCCTGCTATTCATGTGTCTCTCCCATTCTTAGTTTTACATTCAGCATGTTTCTGCAGCAGTCCATGCTCAGGCAGGGTTTCACCTGGCTGCAGCAGTTCATAGAATCCATCTGTAGCCACATAAAGAACTTTTAGCACTCTTGTGTTTTTACATGGTGTAAGTGTCCTGAAACAAAGATAAATGCAATTGCAGTGCAATTTCAATGAAGGAGGAAAAATTGCTTATGTGTTATGTTTGATTTATATGCTCAGATCCTTCCTAAATGCATGGTTGCCTATAAATTTAGGCATAACAAGATAAAGAGAGCTGAGGTTAACTGGTTTTTTATTGTGTCTAAATATAAATAGATATTTATTAGACAGTAAAATTTTATGTAGAACAGTTATGTATTCAGCACATTTCAGAACCTTCACATAAAGTTTTGCAGTGGACAATGCTGAAGGAATCAAAGTTTATGTGCAAAAGTAAGGGTGAGTGGAAATAATGATTTAATGGTGCACTAAGGAAAGTTTCTCAGAGGTGGATGGGGCAAAAAAAGATCAGCTGAAGAAGTGGAGCACTTCAGTACAGCTGTCTTGATAGTCTAATAATAGTCTAATAAATGAAAGAAGGTGAAAGAAACCAACACATGTTTAACTGGAACAAGATTTGCAGGGATGGTGCAATATGATGTTTTTGTGACAGCTGAACTCTCTCATTGTTGTAATTGTGCATCATGTTTTGTTCTTGAATGAATCAATCATGAATTTGTCCCAAATCATGCAATGAAAGTACCAATATCTGTTTCCAATGTTATCTCAAGTAAAATGGGAAATTCACTTGGTCCTGTTCTCAAAAATCTGATTCCAACAGGCAGCGTATCCTACAGACATTCTCAGACAGCTCTAGTAACACCGAGTCAGAATGTTGGAGCAGGGTCTACAAGGTAATTCAATACTTTTTCAAGAGGTTACCATCTCCTGTAAGAGACTAAAATTTCCCCTCTGGCCAGCATAAATTTTTATGTTCAAACGTTATGTTCTAGATCTGAAGAAGTGTTACTGTGCAACTTGGCTATCATCTACATGAATGTTTGTTTATTGGGGAAAATTTTGTTTTAAAATCATGTTTTCAAAAATGAGCAGATATAGTCTGTCCTTCTGTAGCTGTTGACATCTACTGTCATGGTACTCCTATATAAAGGGGTAGTAATTTTATAATTAGGAAATTTGATAATGTCTCTGCTGTATCATTCTTATAAAAATCAGAGATGAAAGCACAATATCTGCACAAGGACTGCTCTCTGAATAACCCAAACTTCTCATGCAGCCTGCAACAGGTGTTTCTGGTTGTTTTCATTTAAACATTGAAAATGTCTTAAACTGTGAGAATTATTAACATCAATAAATAACTTTAAATCATTCCATAAAAATTAAACTCTTGTTCTTTATAATCATTAAGCCAAATGTATCATCCTAGCAGAAATTTAAAATATGTGTAACAAAGTACTTCTTTTTTTCCACCTCTGATTCCATAATTGTTTTGTCAGTCTGCTTCTTGAAAGATGTAAAAATCTTAAATAAGTAAAAATATATAATGTATAATATTTTTCTTTAGAATATTAGACAACAAATTGAAGTAATTTTGAAATCTTTTGTACTGTTAGAAGTAGCCTCAAATCACATGCATGAATTAATTTCATTACCAGATCCACCCCTGTGAGGTTACCACTTAGTGCATGTCCATTATCATCTGGATCCCAGAGCAGTCAAAGGGGACCATGGGCTAATTTTGATTTCAGAACCCCTCAGCTGCATCCATTTACATCACCTTCTCCACAGCTGCCTCTGTCAAGGCAGCCAATCACCATCCCTGGACTTCTGCAAAGACAAGGCAAGTATATTTGTAAAATAACATTTACCACTTCCTGAAAAGTTTTCAGCATAGCAGCTTAAATAAATTACCCAAAATAAAAATGACATTTCAGAATTGGAAGTAGGCTCTCAGCAAAATATGAAAGATGTTGATGTTTATGATTGTATGTCTTGTCTTATGTGCAGGACGGTATCTGCTGTAAAAATGTGTTCTTGCTTCACTTCAGAATTAGATTTTAACAGATATTTAAATCTCATAATGCCCAAATTTTCTGTCTCAGCTGAAGATTTCTTAAAGATCTGTTTATCAAGACATCCATGTAAATGTCCACTGATCACAGTATAAAGGGAGCCAGTCCAGGGTGTTATTTGTTGAGTGCAACATAAAACTACCAAAAGCAGAAAGGAGCTGCATAAACATCAGCTTCAAGGAGGGTGGATGTGGGTAGGAATTGCACTGGGGCAGATTAATTAATAAAACCACAGAATCAGAGTCAGAACTGTAGAACAGCCCTGGTCAGAAGGTACTGTGACTGGTCCAGCCCTTTTTGGGGAAGAGAACCTTGATGAGATAATGTAGCCCCTGACCAATCACATCTTGCAAACCTAATTCTTTTTATTGCCGAGTTTGCATCACAAGTGAAATACTTTTTTAAACTTATAATGAAAAGATAATTTATCTCTAAAGCACTTTTTGCCCATACTAATAAATGTGACCTTCCTGCACATCCCAAGTAGTTTCAAGTTCATTAAACCAAAATAAAAATATTTTAAGAAATGAAGGCTTATAGCTTGTAAAAGCTAACATCACAATTGTTTTAATTGTGAAATTTCTGGACAGTGATACAGTATGTGAAATAATGTATGAGCCTGATATGATCTATAAATAATATAGGAGAAATTAATGTTATAAAAAAAGTAGCTATATTGAACTTTAGTAATAGATATCATTTGGCTATATGATTGCAATGAATTTCAGTTTATATGCAGAATAATGCTTTGGAGATTCACTTGTGTAGCTAAAATTGGAATATGGCAAAAATACTTTTATGGAAATACAGAGGAGCACATTTACATTCAGGAAAATGTCAATAGAAAAGTTTTCATTAATTGTATAGGTTGTATTTTTAGTTTTTAAGAGTTTTGTTTTTCCTTATATAAATTCCCTGAATAATTTACATGAATAAAGCTTTAGTTTTACCAAGTTTGGTTTTTTTTCATTTGTATCTGTATTTTTATTCTAGGATCAACTAATATAAGAGGACATTCAACAGAGAGATGATCAAACATCTGTGAATTGCTTTTGTTAAGAAGCATGTGGAAAAGCACTGCATAGTCTCTGGATATCAAAGTATTTGTAACTTCCATAATATGTCAAATTGGCATAAACCAGAAAATTGTTCAGCATGAATATTGTATTTAAAACATCACTGATCTTTCTGATTAACATCTACTGAAGTTTTAGGTGGGACTACAAAATTTTCTTGTTTTTCAAAATATTGGCTTCAAATATATTACATAAATAAAAGTACTTTATTACCTAAGTGGTAGGGCAAAACACGATTATATGTTGAATGAGCATTTTTTGCTCTGAGTGCATTGAACTACAGGATAAATAATTGTGCCTGTACAGTATTATAGATAGACTGCAGTCCTAAAAAAAGAAATTTATTTATGGATTTTTGATTACAGAATTCCAAAGTTTGGTTCTTACTCAATGCATCTCCTTTTTTTTGCACTCTTGCAAAGGTGTAAGTTTTGATGGCTATTACATTCTAGCAGGCTCTGCCGAGCACAGAACACAGTATCTGTTCCACACTTGGCAAGTCCATAATTTGATTTAGGTAGCAAAGATTTCTTCCCAAAATGGAATGAAGTGGGGGAACTGGAATGAAGAGACAAAACACAGCGAAGACTACTTTTACTTTTGCACAGGAATAGCAATTGGGTACTCTGAATGAAGGTGCCAGAATGCAGCCTTTTCCTTCTGAGAACAACTCTGAAGTTCATATTCCCACCATCACTGTGTACGTAGCAAAATTTTGGTATGATTGAGTTATCAAATGCCTTTGTTTTGTTTTGAACCTAACTTTACCTAGACTATTTTAAGTATAATAAAACTAAAAGCTGGTGCATTTTTCTTGAAATAAAGTTCCCTGAATATATGATAAATTTCTTTTGAGTTGAAATGTTTTACTTTTCACATCACAAGTGGATGGGAGAGAGAAAACTTAATGAAAGATTCAGGAGTTGAGAACTGGAAGAGGTCATTCACAAAATACCATCATGGGCAAACTAGACTCAGCTTGAGGATATTAATTGAATTTTTTTCGAAGAGAATCACAGCAGGATAATAAGAAGTAAAACTTAAAAAACCTTCCCTCCACCCTCACTCCTTCCCAGCTCTACCTCCTCTCCCAGAAGTGCTTTGAGACAGAGAAAGGAAGTTACAATCGGTTCATCACGTTTCTTCCACCACTCAGGGAGAAGAGTCCTTGCCGTGCTCCAGCATGGGAATTTTCAATTTCATATTTGCCTTATTTCAGTGTATAGCTGCCTTTACTTTTTTTTTACCATGGGAAAGTTGAATTTTCTCCTCTTCAGTATTCTTATACTTCAGAGTTTAGCTGGGAGCTCAAAGTCAGCATCCTTCCAAGCAAACTTCCAGTCAAAATATTTAATTTTGCAGTGCCATAGACATGTTCAAATTAAGGTGTGTAGTGTAACTTAAAAAATTTCAACTCTCCTTTAGTTCCAGATGAGCTTCTACAGCTTCAAAAGTGAGGCTGGTAAAACATGACTGCCAGCTTTGATGTAATTTGTGCCCCAGTGTTTTTCTGTTTGGATCCCAAGAAGGGATTCTCTCTAATCTCTGTTTCATCACACTGCAGTTGTCATCCAAGTCTGTGAAGTCATACTATAGCTTTTGTAATTGCTGGAAATTGCATTCTGCAGCCAGGTGTAATACTTAGGTTTTATTGGTTTTGTTTTTCTTTCATCCCACTCTGCAAGCACCCATTAACTGCAGAATTGAGCTTCATGAAGGTGAAAATTTGTGTCTATAAATGGGCCCTGTCTGAAAGAATTCATTTAGGAAAGAGTCATACATGCAAGATATATAACAGTCACAATACTGTTCATTCCTTGTCAGGGAATTAACAATACTGTTAATCACCGTGTCATTCAGAGATGTGAATAAATATTCACAGAGAATGGAATAGTTTCTGTTTCCTGCTCACCACAGTGGTTTCCGCTCAAATTCAGTTAACAATCTTCATGTTCAGGTAATCATCCATTTACCTTTTCTGTGAAGCTGGACACAGGCAGAGACTGTTTTGTAGCTGTAGGATGAGAACTTGGAATATCACATCAATAAAGAAATGTAGTATGGAAATGGATATATATATTACTTTATTGCTGTTTTAACTACTTGGTAGTGTCTGGTACTTAATCTATTTGAGCACACAGTCTAATCCTGAAGAAAAAAAAAATCCAGCAACCTCACCTTCAGAAATATTACAGCTTTGAAATGCACTTTGAAGCGAAACAATGTAATTTGAGAAAGAAAGCAAAGGCACTGGAGCTATCCACGCTGAGGAGAAACACTTGAATGACATCCTCTTGCTTCCCAGTTCAGAAAAATATTGAAAAAGAATTAGTTGAATATGATGTGATTTTTTTTTTTTTTCCAAAACTTACATCTAAGTGGCTCTTTTATAAATTAAAGTGTAATAGGTAAGGAAAAAAATAATTAAAAAGGTAAAAACAGTTTGAGGAATGTTTTGCCAAGTACAATGCTTCTATCATTTGTTCAATAAAGTTGAAAATACTATATTTGGTATTTCATTCTTTAATGAAATAAATTTTCATTTTTCATTTTTAGGAAAAGGAGAAGGGGAAGAAAAGTAAGGTTTTTTTCTAGCTTCCAATAGGCACGGAAGTTCCTATATTACTCTCTTAGGCATCTGTTTTCACAGAATTATTCTTGCTTTTGTGAGGAGTTGGTCCTTCATGTGCAAGGAGATTTGCAGTTCGCTGAGGATACAGCAGAGGGTGCTGAGCTACCTCTAAACAAATTCACTCCTCGCTGCTCTTTGGCTAAGGGGACTGAAATCGGGCCCGTGGCCTTTTCCGTCTGGAACTTACATGGGAAAGCTACAGACGGTGAGAGGAAGAGCAAGGATGTGATGTAGAGTCTGAATGTGAAACATCAGAAAAGGACCCGAAGGTGAACAGCAAATGTGAGGGTAAAAATGGAAGCAGGGGTCAGTCATGCTGAGGGGTTAAGCAGTAGTGGATTAAAGGAATAAATTATGTATTAATTTTGAAAATTTCTGAGCAGAGGACTTGGCAATGCACAGTGGGTATTCAAGACTTCAGTGCTAAGAAGCAGCGGCTGAAACTATGCTGTGTAACTTTGAGAAACAGAGACTGAGCTGACCTGCAGTTCTTTTCAGCTCCTGTCTGCAGCTTTCTGGCCTTAAGGCATAAGAGGGCACTAATTTATCTTTTTCAGTTTTTTAGGAGAGAACATGAGTATGTATTTCACTACAAGGGTGTTTTATGCACACACAAACAATAGCAGAGGATTTTATTACAAGTCAGAATCGTGCTATTCATGCAATGGGGTCAGCACTAATGCTGAAGGTATCCTCTTGTTTGCATTACCGTTGCCAACTTCAGTTTCATTTCACAGTCATCACTTCTCCCTCACAAGGTGATGCTTATGCCATATAAGGCAGAATCATGTCTATTTATTCCCGTGTGACACAAAGGAAGTCTGTTGTAGACAAATGCTTGGTCTGTTGGACATAATACCTGATACTTGCCAAGGAGCATTTTCTACAATTGTGCCAATTAAAATGTGAAATTGCTACCACTTATTTTTGAACTCTCTTGTTCTGGCAGTCAGGAAAGAATGCCATAACTCATCAAGATGCAGCACTGTCGGTTTATCTGTGATAGTCCTATTTTCCCTCTAGAATTTAACCTGCTCCTGACCTGAGGAAATGCAATTTGATAATTCTCTCCTTCTGTGGTCTCTGTGTCAAAAATGCCAACATACTTCAGTCTGTAGATCAGCTTTGTGTGCCTTTGGAGCTCGTGCTGTTTCTGATGGTCCAGTGTGTGCCATTGTGCCAGACTCTTCCTGCAAATCTCTTCTGTGCAGATAAAAACTGTGGTGCAAGTAGGGGGACACTGCTCATGTCCATGCTGTAGTGTTTGGGGTTCTTCCACACCATGCCTTTAGGATTTCTGGGTATCCCACCAGCTCCAGAAAGATTTAGGACTCTGCAGTCACTAAATTATCTGCATCACTGGAACCCCTGACCGCTACAATACTCTGCAAGGAAACCTGCCTTTCATAACGAAAGGGTTGATTTGCTGAGTGTCTCCGTGGAGAAGGTTAGTGATCTGCCCTGAGGATCCTTTATCTTGTGTGTCACATGAGTTTTGGACAACTCTTGCCTTGATTACGTCTAAAGCCCTGATAATTTGTCCCTTGAAATGGTATTAAATATTTGTCCTGAACTCTAATATTAAAGTAGTACCGGGGACTAGGGTGCCATCTGGGAGGCTCTGGAGGGGTAAGGAAAGAACTTTCTTGGAACAAAACAGTAAATTTGTGTGTTGACAATGTGGGGAAGAACATGACTGAGTGTGAAGTTAGGAGTCAGTGAACAAGCTCTGTTAGCAAGTTTGCCACCCGCAAAAGAAGAAAACCTTTCTGTTCTGCAAGTGGAGAGAGTTGGTTTCCTTTTGGACACACGGGACATGGGCAACGTCCCTCACAGCCCTGCCCCCAGCAAGCAGCAGCCTCCTGACCTTGCTGCCCTGGGACTACTCAGAAGTCACCAAATCTAGAAAAGACTGACTGTTCCACATCATGGTCCACCTTGCAAAACTCTGAAACCAGGCACTGGTGCTGCCAAGGCTCACATGAGAAAAAGCTCTGCAGAAAATGAGCAACGCTGAGAGAATCCAGGTTACTCCTGGCACTCTGGAGAATCACCCTGCACCAGCAATATATTTTCCTAACCAACCCAGGGCCTCCCAGGTAAAGGCACACAACACATTTCCTATCAAGGCAGTCTCCACAACAAGATCAAGAGCTGTCTATCCCCATCATGTGGAAGAAAAAACACAAAAGAGAGGAGGAAATCAGTCCCACTAGACATTCCTAGAAGCTTTTTCTGGCCCCTGCCTTAACCGAGCAGACATTTTAGCCATGTTTCACATCCTTGCCTAGGTCAGTGTTGAGCCAAACAGAAGCTGACTTTG